AAAAAACTACAGTCAAGTAAAAAGTAGCCGTGAAATAGGTGACAGTTTGTTGCTAGGAAATTTCTCACTGTGTAAAAGTTGGCTGTGATTTTCTTCTCTTTTTTTTCCTCGTGATACCAATAGTGGGGAAGATTACACTCAGACTCTACAAATTCCATTTCCATGCCTTAAATTTCCATCTCAGGGAAGAGTGAGAGACTCTTTATTGCTTAAGGAAAGAAGACGTGAATTTAGGGTGGAAAAGCGAATTCAGAAATGGGTTAAATAGCGCAGGTGGGAAAAAAGCTTCCTCTTTCTTATTACCACCTGAAGAAAGGCCATCGACATTAGATTGAAATTTAATTTACGAAATAGGGTTTTAATGCAGCTGTTCACCAGCAGCCCATTCCAAATATGCTTTCTGTCAGTGCACTTCCTGAGGGCCATTTAATTGGGCTAATGAAGAAAGCTGCTAATGGCTGGGTTTATCTCTAGAAGCACTGGTGACATTTCATCAAGGCAGGTGATTTTCCAGGCATTGTTTAAGCTCGGTGCATTTCATAGTTAGAAAACACAAGAGCAAGGCAAACATAATGAAAAACAGCGCTCGGAACTATGTGGTCCTGAGAAAAAAAAAAGTCTATTCAGTTTTTTTCAAGGGAAGGAGTAGTTTTTAAAATTATTCCCGCACTTACTGCTTGTGATGTTTGTAAAATAAGGTTTGAAATAAATCATGGATTTTTCGCTGGATTCGTCTGGGCGGAAGGCACGTTGACTGAGCAAAATATGGATCGCATTTGAATAAACGCACACATGCATATGAACAGATAGAGACAGTGATGTGACATTTACCTTCATCAGTTATCAACATCTTGACATTAGTACATCAAACCTGCTGTTTGATAATGAGCTTTGGTCGCCATCTGACTGAACGAATCTGACACTCTTGTCATTCGCTTCTGTCAGAGGGAAAGGTCAGCGGGAAAGTCAAAGAGGTTGAGACCCATGTTTATAGATGATTATACTGAACAAAGGTGACGTGTTTAAATAGCAACGCCAAGGAAAAGGTTTGGTGAAATTTTGACTACAGTGTACCTCTGTAATGAAGTAATAGTCAAACAAAAAAAAACAATTTGTGAATGTTTGACAGCATTTGAAACAAAGCTAAAAACAAAGATAAGTTTATTAAAAGGCTGTTATTACCTTGAGCATGACAGTTTTTGAGTCCACCTTTTTAATCATTCTTGCCCACAAGCTGAAGAGAATTAAAGGTAATTTTGTGTATAGATGGTGTGAAAAGTGAGATGACAAAGAACTTGGAATACCTATTTTGATTTTAATAAAATTTAGAATAAAAAGAAAGCTCAACTGTCAACAATGATTGTCAAATGGAGAAGAAAAAAAAACAGTTGGGAGCATCTGAAGATGTCAGCTCTGCTTCAACTGCTGACAAAAAAGGCTTTTAACTGACAGTTTACTTTTCACACAAAAAAGAAGCGACACTGGACGAAGTCATGATAAATATAAGCTTTCAAACTAATGTTTCATAGTCTGTCATGAAAAAAATACTAAATTGTGGCATAGGCTTGGGAGTAAATGTGTGAAGGGATACCATCTGGCAAATAAAAAAAATAGAGTTTTTTGCCTGTATAGATTATCAAGATTATGTGTCCATCCATCCTTCCATTATCTGTACAGTTGATTCCATGTAGGGTCACGGAGGTGCTGGACCCTATCCCAGCTGTCATTAGGTGAGAAATGGGGTACACCCAGGACAGGTCACCCATCCATCACAGGGCCTCACACAGATAAACAATCACACACACCTACATTTGTTCCTATGGTCATTTTAGAACTAAGAATTTATTTTGTGAAACCTTAAATGTTTCAGGTGTTAAAGCATCAGTGCACAGCCTAAACTTAACCAAACTGTGAGTAAGCCACAAGTGAAAACAATAGGTAATTTCACAAGGAGAAGAGTAAGGATGATGTCATATGCCGTTCTCAAACATGGGCTAAAATCGTGTCAGTCAGGTCATGATAAGCAAGGGCTTCCTGCTAGAGAACAAATGTCCAGTGTGAATTGTTGGCCTTCTTGTTGATTTTCAAATCTGGTTACCAAGGAAAAACTGGTTGAATGAGATTATGTGTAAAGGCAGCAGGTAAGATAACAAGTTTATTTGTATAGCCCTTTACAATACCCAAATGGTACTCAAAGTGCTTTACAACAAAGCCATAAAATAATACAAAAAACAAGCAATTGTTTGGGTGTTGCTTTCTATATCTCATTTTACTTCCTTCCACATTCATATATTAATATATATGTTTACATGTGCAGTATTTTGGCAGACAGGTAAAATGTAAATGTAACGCTTCGATTTCCACATTACACTTTTGTTTCTTTATGCCCAAGGCATCTTTCTGGATGCACTGGATAATCTCATGCTGTGAAGTGAACGTGTTAACTTTGGTGAAAGTCTACCTTGTTGTTTGCATGTTATCCTGCCATTCTCAGTTCAAACGTGCAAAACCAGCTCCAGATGAAAGTCGTATTTGCATCTTTTCAACCACAGTTTTTCATCCCACACTTTTCTTTATATTTGTCTCTTTGCAGTTTCCAATGTGTTGTAACACCTTAAGGTTGAATAAAGTTATTTTAAATCTTGGCATTTGAACAAAATGATTTTTTTTTCTTATACTGCAGACCCAAAGATTTGAAAAATAATAAAAAAGGATATGGACACACTCTGATTTGGGATCAGATCTTGCTTTCAGTTAACCAGCAACATTATGCATCCTGTGTGCTTGGGCACATCTGTTTTTTTTTTTTTTTTTTTTTTCTTCGTCTCTAACTGAAAAAAATTCAAACCCACTTTGGCCTGGGTCCCAGCACATCCGTTGGCGTCCGACGCACCGTTTCCTTTATCGTGTCCAGAACAACAATGAAGTGTGAGATTTGAAAAAAGACAAGCTCCGCCACCGGTGAGCTGCGAGCCACCAATCATTTGTAAGTCTGAGCCCCAACAGCGGCTTTTCGAATCCCCTCCTCTTCTTCCCCACCTCTTCAAATTCATTGGCTGCCGCGGGGAGCAGCGACAATGTTTAATGCACCATGCGGTGTCCGGAGTTCAGTCAGTGAGAGGAAGCCTCTCTGTGCTCCGAGCAGAGCGCGAGACGTGCGGGAAATAGTAAGTAACGACTTCACGTTGTAGGTTTATTTTTTTTTAAAAACATCTCGTTTCGTCCAGCAGCCGTTAAGAGACTTCTCCCAGGATGCGGCATTGTTGCTGACCACCTCCACGGCAGCTGTCTTTCCTTCCGTCTGTACGGACTTTTGACGTGGGGGGACACGACGGACAAGGACAAAAAAAAAAAAAAAAAATGCCACTACGGGAAACAGTAACTCCCGGTGCTTGTCTCGGAAGAAAGGAAAAGCCAGTGACCGTTATTTGAACGCCCGCTTTGGAGCTACCTATCCAAACATCTGGAATTTTCTATTTTTTTTTTTTTTGGTTTGTTTGTTTGTTTGTTTCTTTTTTCTTCCCAGAGTAATTCACCTTTCGGTTCTCCGTCCTGAGGAACGGTGACTCACTGCAGACTGAAGGCGAGCCGCTGCATCCTAATCAGACAGCGGATAGGACTTCAGCTCATTGACATTACAGTCATACTTTGGAGCACTTTTTTTCTTCTTCTTCCAATTTTATTCCACTGCGCTGCTCTGTAGCCTGCCTGTACATTGGAGCCTTGTGGATTTTTTTTCCCCCTTCCCAGAGACGAGAAGGAGGACACGGGTGGTACCTTGAGAAGTGGTCAGGGGGGTGGGATAAAACTCCTTGAACCCCACTGGAATTGACTGTTTTTTCTTTTTCTCCTCCTGTTTTACAGTTGATATTTTCCACGAATGGAGCTGCCTCTCTTGGTGAGATTCTATTTTACATTCTTCCCAGTCTCTTGTCTCTCATCCTTACATCAGCTTCCCATTTCCAAACGAGTGCTAGTCCTCTACAATCCTCATGCAACAGCTTCCTCCGAGGGGCTGCTGAGTCTCGGAATCAAATAAAGGCAGAGCAACAGTGCAGGGAATTACGTCTGTGCTCAGACGTGTGCAGGTCATTTCAGAAATGTCATAGGGCTCATTTCATGTGTCCGGATTATGCGAATTTGTTAATGCGTCTAAGAGGCTCGTTTTACTCACTTATTCAGACAGCCGACACAATAGTCCACCCTCAGTTTAATCCATGCGTCTTAAGATGTTATTAAAGTTGCCCTGTTCAGTTTCAGTCGACATCCTCAACATGGGATTGAGGCATTATTTTTGTTGGGGGTCAGGCTGTGCCGCACACAGCAGAGATGAATTAAAATCTCCCTTCAGAATCCCGTATCTAATGCAGCCTACTAGTATCCTCTTTTTGATATGGCCGGTAAATAATCTACAAGGAGAACCACTAATTGCCCGTGAATCTGGGCTGCGAGTGCCTTCCCAAGGTTAACTAACTGACAAGCATCCCCCATAATTGTGGAGATGAATTACACATGAGCTGTGTTTCATTTTGGCTTGGAAGTATCTGATTTCTTCCCGGCAGTGGAACTGGTCTAGTTTATTTTGTGTTTTTTCGATTCGCTAATTGATTTATATGTAATACCTTTTTTTCTGTCTTCTTTTTTAGGTTGTATAAGTAAGCAATTACGATGACTATTCTGTTTGGAGACTGGATCGAGATTATTGTTCAGATGAGTCTGGATGCTCAGCTGAATATAAATTAGGTATTCAGCACCACAGATTGCTTGCAGTAGAAGAGCGCGACAAAGCAAAGACAATCTTCAAAAACAAATGTCAAGGCCTTGCATGATGAACAGAACTCTTTCTTTCATCCGAAATAGTAGGAACGCCAAATCTGAACTGACTATCAACAGGTCATAGGAAGCAAGACGACTGAACAACAGATTTAAACTGCTTTTACGAAGCGGAGATGCATCTTTCTATTTTCTTTTTCCTCCTCTTGTGGGCTCAAGCCCTGACATTGAAAAACTTAAATTACTCTGTCCCGGAGGAACAAGGTCCGGGGACAGTGATTGGGAACATTGCCAAAGATGCCAGGCTTGGAATTGAACAGACTGGACAGGTAGGACAGGGTAAAAAAGCCAACTTCAGGGTGCTGGAGAACTCAGCCCCTCATCTCATTGATGTGGACCCCCAAAGCGGACTGTTGTACACAAAGCAGCGCATCGACAGGGAATTGTTGTGTAAGAGAAGCCCCAAGTGCCAGCTCTCCATGGAGGTGTTTGCAAATGACAAAGAGATATGTATGATAAAGATAGATATTCAAGACATTAATGACAACTCTCCTGTTTTCCCATCGGATCAGATTGATATTGACATTTCTGAAAATGCAGTACCAGGAACACGCTTCCCCCTGACCAGTGCACATGACCCAGATGCAGGGGAAAACGGCTTAAAAACGTATCAGATAACACGCGATGATTACAATCTCTTTTCTTTGGAGGTGAAGTCCAGAGGGGATGGGACCAAATTCCCAGAGTTAGTTATTCAACGGCCGCTGGACCGAGAAGAGCGTAGCCATCACACCCTAATATTGTCTGCAACTGATGGTGGGGAATATCCAAGGTCAGGTAACATGCAGATAAATGTTAAAGTTATAGATTCCAATGATAACAGTCCAGTGTTTGATAAGTCCACATATGTTGTCGAAATTCCTGAAAATTCACCTCCTGGTAAAGTCTTGATTGACTTGAATGCCACTGACCCTGATGAGGGAAACAATGGGCAAGTCGTCTATTCCTTTAGTGGTTATGCCCCACAAAGAATACAGCAACTTTTCTCTATAGATTCCAGAACAGGGGTCATAAAGATTCAAGGTGAAATTGACTATGAGGAGAGTCCAGTTATTGAGATTGACGTTCAGGCAAAGGATCTAGGTCCCAATCCAATACCAGGCCACTGTAAAGTCACTGTTAAAGTGCTTGACAGGAATGATAACTGGCCATCTATAGGCTTTGTGTCAGTGACACAGGGAGCCATCAGCGAAGCTACAACCCCAGGCACTGTCATTGCTCTGGTCCGTGTCACAGACAAGGACTCAGGCAGAAATGGACAGCTTCAATGCAGAGTTCTGGGTAATGTCCCATTTAAACTTCAGGAGAACTATGACAACTTATACACAGTGGTGACTGACAGGCCTCTGGACAGGGAGGTGCAGGACGAGTACAATATCACCATTGTGGCGAAAGACAATGGCATTCCTCCTCTAAACTCCACAAAATCTTTCACTGTCAAGATTCTGGATGAAAATGACAATGTTCCTCACTTCACTAAGTCAGTCTACCTCCTCCAGATCCCCGAGAACAACATACCGGGAGAGTATCTAGGTTCAGTGTTGGCACACGACCCAGACCTTGGTCAGAACGGCACAGTTTACTACAGCATAGTCAACTCTAATGTGAGTGGGGGTGACGTCAACACCTATGTTAATGTAAATGCAGCTAATGGAGCCATTTATGCTGTAAGATCATTTAACTATGAGCAAATCAAGTATTTTGACTTCAAGGTTCTTGCTAAAGATGCAGGATCTCCACACCTAGAGAGCAATGCTACAGTGCGCATTAGTGTTCTGGATGTCAATGACAACATTCCTGTAATAGTTCTACCGCTTCTCCAAAACGACACAGCTGAAATTCAGGTTCCGCGAAACGTTGGCGTTGGCTACATTGTTACAACAGTGAGGGCAGTGGATAATGACTACGGCGAGAGTGGGAGGCTCACCTATGAGATCTCAGATGGCAACGAAGAGCACCTCTTTGAGATTGACCCAATCACTGGGGAGGTACGAACAGCCCACCCCTTTTGGGACGATGTAAGCCCCGTTGTGGAGCTTATCATTCGCGTATCAGACCATGGCAAGCCAACTCTAACTGCTGCTGCCAGACTCATCGTCAAGGCTTCCAATGGTCGTCCTCCCGATGGACTTCCACACATGAAAGACAATCAGAACTGGGACATGTCTCTGCCTCTTATTGTGACTCTAAGCATCATATCTATCCTGCTTTTGGCTGCCATGGTGACTATAGCGATCAAGTGCAAGCGTGAAAACAAGGAGATCCGTACTTATAATTGTCGCATTGCAGAGTACTCGCACCCTCAACTGGGGAAAGGCAAGAAGAAGAAGATTAACAAAAACGACATCATGCTGGTGCAGAGTGAGGTGGAGGAACGGGATGCCATGAATGTGATGAATGTGGTAAGCAGCCCTTCTTTGGCCACCTCTCCCATGTACTTTGACTACCAGACACGCCTGCCACTCAGCTCACCAAGGTCAGAGGTAATGTACCTCAAGCCCACTGCCAATAACCTCAGCGTGCCCCAAGGCCACGTGGGATGCCACACCAGCTTCACAGGCCCAGTCACCAGCACTACAGACACACCTACTAACCGCATGTCCATCATACAGGTAAGGGAAATTGCACTCCTCTCCTTCACTGCTGTCCCAGCCTTTTGTACGCCACAACCCTCACAAAGCTCCCATTTCCTACATCAACATCTGCCCCTTTGTATTGTTAAATGAAAGAAAAAGATGACAAGGACAGGCTGTAGCAGCGAGGCCCAGAAGCATTAAAAGAAAGAGAAGAAAGGGAGGGGCGAGCTTTAGAAGGATTAAACAGTCATTCTAGTACTCTCATAGAACAGAGCTGGTGACATCAACACGAGTCATCTGTGCCTGAAATATGTCACGGTGGGTTTTGGAAATCAGTTTCATGTGGTACTGTGTAGTTTGTCACTCAATCATTGTCATTTCATTTGTAGCTTATGAAAATAATGTTGCCAGTGATTTTTTTTCTTTTTAACCGTTACTTTAAGTACATTTATGGAGCCCATACCGTAAAAATACGCTTCTGATTTTATAATCCAGTAATTAGATTTCGATGCACATTTCTTTCTACTTACCTGTATGTCATGTCATGATGAAAACAACAGCTTAGAATTTAAGTAAACGTATTCGAAGCATTAGAATTTGGGATCTCATGAAATTCTACAGCTCTTGGTGATTTACTCTTGTGGTTTTAATTCCTCGAGATAAGGAGATTGGACTTATTTTCACGGCTACTTTATACGTCTTTGTGCGGAGTACTTGGGTATATAAGCCTCTAATGGTATAACTTCTCTGTGTCTTTGGCCTTAAGCCCATTTAAAGTCTGTCGTGGCAGATGAGGATTTAAATCAGCTTAAGACAGTGCCATGTTAACACAACATATAATAGCCAGTCATGACAAAGTTAACCATTGTTCAGATGTTTTCCTGTTGTCCTCGTTTAGGCAGAGTCTGGTCCTGGTGTATGTTTTCTCCTGCTAAAAGGGATTTTTTTCCCCTCCCTGTTCTGTCACAAAGAGCTTACTCAAAAGGAAAATGTTTGATATCACTTAATGATATTCTCGTATACCTGTGGCTTTAGGTTGTTTAGGGCACTTGGGAAAGAACAGTCTTTCCAGTTCCTTATCTGCTTTGGCTATTATTGTTTATATGAAGCTGCCTTTCCTTTGTGAAACAACATTTTCAGTAGATGTAGATGTGATGATGACTGTGATCACATCTGACATGTTCCTGCTCAGGAGGAAGGCAAATGTCTGTTGTTCTCTTACTTGGTCTTTGCCCTGCTTTTATTATGAACCAGCTGCATAGGGCAGGGGTCAGTGGAGAGACCGTTGAGGCTTCCTAATCAGAGGGACAGAGTAATTGCTGGTGCATTCCACAGGCGGTTTTCTCTACTAATCTGGTGATGCTGATTTGGACTGCATTAGGCTGACACATATCCATTTATGGAATTCTTTTTTCACTCCCTTCAGACTGTAAAAGAGAAAAGAAAACAAGTGGCAGCATCAGCAACACATTCCACGGTCTGTTGTTTACAGAGGGTCTGCTGGACGTATCAGGCGTGTATAGGTGCTCTGTTGTATTATTCAACAGAAACCTGTGTTGAGGGAGATGGCCCGAGGCATTAGGTTTCTTCCGAAGCCATACAGAAATGTATCGCTTTCCTTCCTCCTCCTTACTCCATCCTCTTGGTTCTGTTCTTGTGGACAGTAAGTAACCTGAGTCAGGAGTTTCTATGGGAAAAATGTCAGGAAACAAAGACAGAATTCCCCTTCCATCGATCCAGAGGCCTTTCAGCCCATCTGTCACTACAGTTGCCACAGTGGTGAGGATAAATAGGAAAAATAAATAAAGAGATGGATAATGTGGCAGAGCAGAGCATATCGCCGGCTCGGATTCGCAAGGGCACCTTAGTGTTCGTGTCTTCATCGTGCTTTGCGGAGCAACTGAACCTCGGCAACTTGTAGTCTTCCTCCATGCAAGCTGGCTGTCTCTATTATTTTATAGAGGCGCTCTGGCAGACGTGCAAGGCTTCGTCTCTAGGCTGGAGAGGGGAATGATGTGAACCTATCAGCAGGGCTCTGCTGGCCTTATCGTTGTCGCCACCCTGCCAAGACCTGCTTCAGCGGAGGGCTTTATTTCATTTGTAAAGGGAACCTCTGGGATAGGGGGATGGATGATATGTAATGATGCCTAATTCCGCTGAAGGTGTCGGAGTGAATTACTAAGGCTGGAATCAATATTAGAAAGCAATCTACCTTTGTTTTTAAATGTTATGAATCTCTTCAACAGCTCTAAATTTTCAGAAGTGGGACTCGCTAACTGTTCCCCGTGTGATTTACTTCTTAAGCCGCCTTTTTGTGACATAAACGTCAACATTTTGATTGTCATAACTTTTAAATGACCCACATTCTGAGGTTTAATTAGTTTTGAGCACTCTGAAACCTGTTGTAATCTGCAATTCAACCGAATAAAAAGCAATCCCGTAATGTGAGGCAGCCCAGGTTTTTTAAGGTACCGGCGTTGCATTGATGATCAGTTGTCTGAAAGGCTGCATCAGCTGCCTTAAGGTGGCGCCATTCTGCCTTATGTGGAGGGCACACAGATGAGAGTGGCAAGGAGAATGGGGGTTTCAGTCTCTGCTGCCTTGACATTGTCAGTTGTCACTTTGTTAGAAGGCCCCTTCTGCTCTAATGAAAAGTGCCAGACAAGAGGACATGATATAGTGTTTTTTTTTCTTCAGGAACTGCCTCTTGCATAGCATTTTCTTACAGTTTTAAATGGCAATCAGAGAATTCATAACTGCCCTGTATCCTTGATATTTTCCTTTTTTTAAAATGTTTAATTGTTTTGTTTTTTACAGTTTTCTTAGTACCACATATGGATTAGAAAACATTTGGATATGACAATAAAAAAAAAGGTTTTAGAAGGGCTTCTCAAAATGACTGGTGGCCGTAATCCTATTCATAGAAAATAAAGACCGCTGAAAAAAGGAGCTGTTAAGAGGTGTGACTGTGATCATTTAAGCAGCGTGTTTACTATACAGGGGATTTTCATTCTTTTGATCTGTTTAGGTTGAGAATATGCATGCCAACAATTTAGCTGGAGCAGATGTTGAGAAAGGATGCTTCTAGGAACGGTCTTACTCTGCATAATTTAGGGAGATTGTGTGTGCGTGTGTGTGTGTGTGTGCGCGCGTGTGGGGGTGTAACATCATTGTGTATTCCAGGCGTGTGATTTAAGCCTTTAGTTGGCAGGCTCCGTGACAGAGCCCCTCTCTTTTATGAGCGTGACAATCTTGCGTTTGTCCGAACCTTGAAACACCCTTCCTATGAGGAACACTCACACACACACACACACACACACACACTTCTGTACGCAACCACAAAGATGCACATGTTGGGCTGTTTAAAAAAAAAAAAGGAAGAAAATAATTTATTTATTTTTAAGGATTCCACTGAAAAGTCTTATCAAAGCCAGAGCTGAATATTGTATTGAAATTGCTCCCACACTTCAGTGGCCACTGAGCCAATGAATAGGAAAGCACTCTTTATTTCATTTCGCTCCCTTCATCTTTAGATAACTGCTTTCCTCCGGAGCTTCCTATGGAACAAGTTTGGCAAACCTGTTTCTACTGAAGACTGCTTGCCGACAGGATTTTGCAGCTCAGCAATGGGTTGCACAAACAGTCATTAAATGGAATGAGAGACAGCTCGAGAAACCTCCAATTTGTGTACACTTGTCCCCCAATGGAGCTTCTAAGCTACTAGGCCAGATTTGTTTTATTTGAGCTTGCCAATACATATGAAATATTATCTCGCCACTGGGTGTATTTTCAGATTCCCTCAAATAAACTTGCCCCTGTACTGTACATAACACAAAACGCCAAGTTCTAAATTATTAATGGGCACTTTTATTTCTCTTCATGCGCCCCCCCCCCCAAAAGCTGATATGATAGATACAGCTGAGAGGAAGTGCAGTCAGACCACAAAGCGTTGCTCGAGGGAGTAACAGTAAATTGTTTTATCTCTCTTAAACACAAACATGAGAACTTTGTATTAAATGCTTTGTTTATTAGCCACCATCTCTGATATTTCATCTGCGGTGTTTGTGGGAGCCTCATCCAGATGCATCACAATGTCTCCGAGCTGTGGCAGCTGTGTAAAGCACAGCACCAGCTATATTTGCATCCTCTTTCATTAATAAGTCATAACGTTTAACAAATCAGAGGAAAAGCGGGAGATGTCACGATAAACATCTGAGGTCTCCGGCTGCATATTTATGAACACGAGCGGAAGAGGACGGCTGAACACAGCGTAAGTGGGGAAAAACAAGCCACTTACTATCTGATACCAGTGGAATTTGAGCGTTCATTTGTTTTTCACGGATCCGTTTGCAGTTTGCAGGCAGAATGAAAGAGTGTGGAGTGCCAAATGGCCTGTGCGTTTCCACTCTCCAGTCTGTTGGACAATGACAGTTTTGAAGCTTATGAAAGACACAAACCAAGGATATTAAGTCAGATTGTACAACCTTGCCACCACTGCTTTTATCTTGCACACTCATTTCCAATGTGTGCATTAGCCAGTTTTCACAGAAGAAGCTTTAAAAAGACAGGGGCGAGGAACTCTTACATAATCTTCAGCATCATTGGAAAAAAAAAGTGGAATTGTTAAAGATATATATGTGGTGGCTGTTTCATTACATCCAGAAAGTTTGCTTGAGATTTTAGGCAGTTGTGAAAGTGAATATTTTATATAGTGCAGGTTTTCAACAATCCAAGTAACCCTACTAAATCATATATATGTAGGTTCCAGGCTGTGCTCACCACAGCTCACAGCTTCCCCGAAGTAACTTAAAACAGACTCCACTACCGTCAAACTGCAGACTTGACATGGAACAGTCTTACTGGTTTTCCACTAGACTTCCTTTCAGCCATCTGTTGTGCATTCTTATGGACACAGCACTTTGCTGTGCTGCGTAATTTCATTAGTTTGACAGAAACCCCCCCCCCCCAACCCAGCAACGCCGGGCAACAAAAGACTTTTATTTTTCTTTGTGCGCAGAGAAAGAGACAGGAAATGA